GAGCGCTTTAGGCTAATCTAAAACGTACAAGTATAATAGCCTCAGACACATGTAAAAATTGATTAAAATAATGGCAGAGCTAATAGCAAAAAAGAATAAGTCATCACTGAATAACATTGACTATGAACACGACCACAATGTGGTGACCGTGTTTGGAAAATAAAAAAATTCTTATAAATTAAGATACATACGTAAAAACACGATTTCAATTAAAAATAATAAAAAAAATCCTACCTGATAATGGGTTAATCAATAGCCGGATATACAGAAGTGTCGGATATTTTGACCTGCTTTGTGTCCACAGATAAAACGATTATACAAACACAAGAAAATTAAATAAATACCTCAATCGTCTTGCCTTGTCAGTTGTCGATATCGAAGCTTTTATACACGCATGCCCCCATATATATATATATATATATATATATATATATATATATGAAAAGAATACTTAACTTTTAAATATCAATTTTATCCTGACATCGATGCTTCTTGTAAAATTTCTAAATTCACGGTATTTGATGAGACGGTATTTTCAAATTTGTTCAATTTTTCATTTTGTTCCACGTATTTTTCTATACGTTTTTTACCCCGTTTTTTACACGTATAATATATATATATATATATATATATATATATATATATATATATATATATATATATATACAGTGAGTACTAGTTGTAACACGATAATGTTTGATGAAAATAGCAGAGCTAATATATATATATATATATATATATATATATATATAAAGTGAACATAGAAGTCAACGCTTAGAGGCGACAGTCTGTCTTATGCTATATGCAATCGTCAGGCCTGACGATTGCATCTAGCATGAAACAACTGTCGCCTCTAAACTTCTCTATCTCTCTGATATTGAGCACTTTATCCCACAAATATAGCACACCTTAAGACTATATTTCTTCATATATATATATATATATATATATATATATATATATATATATATATATATTATGGCAGTCAAAAAAAGCAGCTAAAATGCCTTGGTAAAACCTTTATGGAAGTCGGAATCACTGTGTTAACATTAACAAACTGATAAATTTAAATTACAAACACAGTGATTCCGACTTCCTTAAAGGTTTTACCCAAGGCATTTTAGCTGCCTCTTTTGACTGCAATAATATGGAATTTACTATGGTATGTGAATGCCTTATATATATATATACAGGTGAAATGAGAACTAAAGGACTATAATTACACTGTACGGAACATTTCATTTAAAATATTGCTCAGTACATATTGGAACAAAATATTACTTATTTTAGAATATTAAAACAAAAATTTGTTAAAAATCGCTACATAATTACAATCATGCTTCAACATCATAAATGTGTCTCCTCAGCGTCTACCTTACTCTTTTTGAGTAGTTCACGTCTACTTATCATCTCTCAGTTTCGTCTGTCTTTGGGCTCGAGTCCCCACCTAAAAATAAACCTTGTCTCACATCTCCTCCAAGTAGTGCGGTGTAGAGTAAATACAGTCTGCTCGGCCGATGTTAAACCACTGATGAGCGAAAGATTAATTTAATTTCTAAAGCAGAATACTTTTTAAAGTAGTCTTGTGAGCTTTGCCGTGGTTAACCAATCGAATATGACCTACGCAAAGTTCAAACCCACCGGAAAAAAATATTTTTATTATAGGTCATGACACGAAATTGTGTGCATATAAATCCTAGACAATTTATTTATGGACAGATACAAGTTGTTACACTATTTAAGGTGTATCGAAGTCTGACGTTCAACTTTCCCAATAAGTAAACGCTTAAAGGTGAAGGGGGGTAATTTAATACAATGCTAACCAGTCATATGCTTATACAGCTTCTTTCATGAAATATAGAAAAAATAAAGCGAACTTGGGCATTTTCTTAGTGATGTAATATTCAAATCGTAGATAATATGCTGAACAATTGTATATTAGTCATGTAATAAATATATTTAATAGTCTATGTCATTTTTATAATCCGGGATACTTGCATTCAAATTGTATCCCATAATTTATACAGCTTAAATTACAAATGCAAATTTTTCGCTGTTACAATAAATTTGTTTTTGTAATTTACGCCTGAATATCATCTTAGAAAAGGTCGAAAGCACTCGCGTTAATGTTATAAACGAATAAAGTGTCTTTGCCGACACTTGAGTTTGAACATAGATCGCCAATAAGCAAACACAGGCGATCCCATTATTGAATTAAGTAGACCACGTGACGATAGAGGAAATATGTATGTATGGGAATTATCGTGACGACCAACAATCGCCATTCTAGTCTATCGTCTATTACTATTCGGATCACCATTTCTACTCTATTCACTATACTATTTCTCCATACTGATCACTATACTATTTCTCTATTCAGATCACTATTCGGTGGTTACTATTCGGGCGAGTATTATCGAGCAAGTACTATGAGTGCGAGTGTTATTCGAAGGCGTCTGACACCAGTATTGTTCAACGGTGTTACGATAGTTGTATCTGCGATTGGAAAGTCTCTACTACAACGAGCATTACGGAAAGTGATAGCGAGTATTCGTTGACATAACAAAAGTGGCAACGCGTGTTCTTTGACATCACAAAAATGTATTGGCCAATGATTTTTATATGGAAATGCATTGGAAATGCTTTTCACTCTGAAAATGCATTGGAAATGATTTTTAGTATGAAAATGCATTGGGAATGATTTTTACTATGAAAATGCATTAGAAATAATTTTTACTAGGAAAATGCATTGGGAATGATTTTTACTATGAAAATGCATTGGAAATGATTTTTACTATGAAAATACATTGGAAATGATTTTTATTATGAAAATGCATTGGCCAATGATTTTTAGTATGAAAATGCATTGGAAATGATTTTTACTATGAAAATGCATTGGAAATGATTTTTACTATGAAAATGCATTGGAAATGATTTTTACTATGAAAATACATTGGAAATGATTTTTATTATGAAAATGCATTAAATGATTTTTAGTATGAAAATGCATTGGAAATTTTTACTATGAAAATGCATTGGAAATGATTTTTTACTATGAAAATGCATTGAAATGATTTTACTATGAAAATACATTGGAAATGATTTTTATTATGAAAATGCATTG